GCTTATATATTTTTTAAATGTTGCCTCAGGGTTGACTTTAATTTAGATACTTTGAATAAGAACACATTAAGAAACTCTGTTGCAGGGTATTATAACATTGGTAATTATGTTGTTTTTAAATTGGGAAGTAAGATCTTTTGTCCATTGATGTATTAAGACCTTAGAAAATATATTAAGAACTGTATGAAACTCTTCATTACAGGAGTTCAAGTCATTATAATGGTGGTATTACAATGCATTTTAATAGTAATCTAAACACATTTTCTTTACGCAAAATGTTTTGTTGCTGAGAAACCAGTAAGACATTAAATTGTTGGAATTATAGCTGCATTGTGTCATCAGATTGAACTTGATTTGTTTACACCATAGTACAGATGGCTTATGTCTGAGAAAACTAGAAAAAGGAACCCTGAAACACACAAAAAACTATATTTTGAATAAGCTTTTATATACAATATAGAATCTTTTCCATGGAAATTATTTCAATGAATATAGCTTCTGTTTCTTTAATTTTTATCTTACTTAAATTTGTTCAAATTTATCTGGTCTTTTTTGTAATGCTCTGTTCTTAGAGTCACATCAACAGAAAAGGGTTGTTTAAAAAATAAAAATTAGCGCATGATCCACCCCCTCCATCTCTATCTCTGTCTCTGTCTCTCTTTCTCTCTCTTCCCTCTTCCCCCTCCATACCAAATTCTTTAGTTTTTATCAAGCATGCATCTGGGTTCTCATACAAGCCACTTTCTCTGCCTGATATATTAATATTTCCGCTCAAATACTTGAATCCTTTTTCTCTTCATGTCTTGAGGTATCTGTTCAGATGTCACCACCTTAAAGAGGACTTCCTTTGACCTCCATGCCATCTCTCCTGATGTCCCCTTATCCAGTTTACTGATTCTTCATCACACTTATTTACCTGACCTTATTTAATGTGTTATTTGTCTGCCTCTGACATTAAAATATAATCCCCACAGGTCAAGAACTTTAATTTACTGCTATATCCCCAATGTCCAGAGGACCATATGGGCATATAGCAGGTGCTCGATAAATATGAGCCAAATGACTTTTTTATCACAAAGATTCAACAAAGAATATTTCTACATGCAATTGTCTCCTTTTATCTCCTTTTGATAAGCAGCATTACTTTAATGTTCCTTTTTAGATTGGTCTGTTACCTGGGATTCCTTGTATATATTCCTTGCCCATTTGTTGCATCTGTTGAATCTCTCACCCTCTCTCTTAAGACAAGTGCTGTGTTGTGAAGCTTTAGACTTCCCTACCATGATTAAGTAATTTTAGTAATCCTATCTGCAGCAACTTTTACTTTGTGTTACTGGCTTGGAATTGCCACACAATTTGGTGGGAGTTCAAGTTCAGATTCCACAACAGCACACAGCACAGGAGAGGTCTGATTTCCCATAGGTGTTCCTATCCTCCATCCAGGCGAGACTGTGCCCAGGCGACACCCCCTTTGCAACTTCTCACCTTACCAAAGAGCCCAGATCTTGTATGCCAAGCATGCAGGGGCTGCGCCTCCCCTCTTAGTTCAGGTGTTCCAGCATCAGCCCCTGATGCCCCCTGACCTGGGCATCAAGTCCCACTCCTCTGACTTAGTGTCTTCACTTTACTTGTAGCACCTGGAAATTTTTCTTTCTCTGTTTCAAGCCTTGCTATGCATTAAAAACAAAACAAATTTCTGTTATACATTAGTATTTTTTTTTATATTTGGTTGGGGATAACTTCCCACATTTGCTTAGTCAGCCCTATTGACTGGAGACACATGTGGAAGTCATTTACGTTAGCATTTTAAAAGCAATACTTCTGAGAGTGTTGATGCCTCGGTATAGCCAAAGGTATTTACACCTGGGCCCTCTGTAGATGTGTAGTAATAAAAATTTATACAGTGTTCTTATATTCTAGCTCTCTAGACATTCCAATGTTTTAAAGAAAACATTAGACATTATTTATGAATACATTCCATGAAATAGTGACCTCATCATCCATTCCATTTTATTGCAAAATTTCTTAGCATTGCATGTTTTATTGTCCTCTTGGCCTTTTAGAAGCATTTTGTGAAATGGAAAGTAATCATAATGGTGACTTTTCAATTAAATATCCAGAAGCCATTGTTTTTCACGGGTTTTACTTCCTTTAATTCCATTTATAAGCCTATATTGATTCAGTGCGAGGTATATTCATATACTCTAGTATTGAGTATACACCTCGTACTCAATAGGATATTCATAACACCATCTAGGTGTTATGGGCTGATTTATTATTATTAGTTATTATTTTATTCTAAGATATATTTTATTTATTTTATTTTCAAGTTGAAATGCACAGACTTTAAGTATACAGTTTGTTGCATTTGGGCAAATAAAAATATAAAACATTTCTATCACTTCAGAAAGTTCCTTTATCCTATTTTATGCTTTTTATTTTAAACTTTTTTTTTCCCCCTACCAGATGTTAAGACATCCCACATGAAATCTGAAGAGCCTCCTAGGAAATATACTTCTACAAACATGGATGATTTCCTGCATTCTACAGACAGAAACTACTTTGTTAAATTATGGACCAAACTTTCAGACAAAAAAACACCAGCGGTAAGGGAGGGCAAGAGGAGTGAAGCAGCAACTGAGTGCAAGGCACGATGTCAGACACAAAGGGGATTTCATATTTTGAGACGAATAAGTTTCCCCAAAACTGTTCTCTCACCAATGTCAGTGGAAGATAAGATTTTTTACCTATTTACATCTCTGATGATAGACACTGGTTCTAAAAATAGAATATCCAATATAAGATTTCGTGAATACCTTTCCCCCAGGCTCCCATTGAAAACTCTGACACTCAACTCTTCTATGTAGCAAGAACAGAAAAGCACTACCATAAAATTAATGCAGTAAAATATGTATTTCAAGTGAAAATGTACTTTGTTGCTAGGATATAATTTTGAGTTTTGGGGCTGAGTCTGAAAAGTGAGTCCACTCAAAGAGTCCATTTTTATAACTTAACACTACTTAAACCAGCCATATAACTTAGTTTCAACTCAGTTCTCAGAGAACATCGAGAAATTAGCATGTGCAGGAGTATCGAAGGCAAAATCGGCACAGCATTCAAATTAGGTTGTACTCTTTTTCCATTGTAATTGTTTTTAAGTGATGATCTGGGACTACAAAAAGACGTAAATAATTGCAATTGCAATATGCAGAAGTGACAGAACTTTTGTTTTGGTTGTTAATTCCTCGATTTTATTTCCTTAAGGCTAGCCTGTTCTAAGCAAGCAATTACATCATCTTCTAAAGTCAGTGGTCAAAAGAATCAGACTGGTTACTGGTTACTTCAGACAAAAAGTCTCAGGCTGTGGTGTGTACAGCCATAGCTATGCATTCTACTCCGATCAACTCATAATAGTTGTTGGGTGTTCCAGGTTCAAGAAACAGTATTTCTGCTTCTGTTTCCCGTATGTTCTGTTGCCCTTTCTCTGTCCTGGCCAGCCTCTTCCACTCACCCAGAGGCTTCCCTCCCACTAGTGTACTCTCGTGCGTCGTCCAGCCCCAACTCTCCAGCTCCCTCTACGTGAGGAGCCCATCACTCTCTGTCATTCTAGTCCTGGGACATTCAGCTCTTTCCAGAGCAGTCTACAGTTTCCTCCTCTGCCCTTGGTATCCCGGCCTTCTTGGACGGTATGGCTTGATGCTTCTAGGAACTTAGATTTTCCAAATGCACTATCAGTTCATTAATCTCCCCCAGGACATGGGAAATCCAGTGTGCAAACACTAAATCCTGGCCACCTCGATTCCTTAATGATGAGTCCGTGCCCTGACCGTGAGATCCAGCCTACTTCCCGACGGGGCTGTCCTGCCACACAATTTGATAGGCAGAAACATGCATCGTTGATTTATACCCCTCTTCCAGTTAGTGGAGATTCATAGTGTATTTAAACATGTTCGATCTGAGTATTACCTGTTACAAAACTTTCTAGCCTAATTAAAGACTGCTCTGATCAATGGCACTAAGGTACTGGGGGTGAGGGACAGAGGAACAGCTGGAAAAAACCGCACTCTGTACTCTTAATTGTAATCCACCTCTAATATTTTAATATAAAATTAATGAACAGCATGGAGAAACTGGAGAGGGGAGTGTATGATAAAATGGCAACGTGAGAGTAGAAGGGGCCATTTTGGTGGTGGTCGATGGGGGAGCGGAACAGGTGTTACCGACCACCTGTTGTTGCCAGAGTCTCGTGAACTTCTATGGGCCTGTCGCTCCTTGTCTGCAGTGCACCTCCCTGAGAAACTGTTCAGCCCCATAATCCAGGGCATCCGGAGCCCAGCGTGGAATGTCTATTGTGTCCTTTATCACAGTTGGCAGTTACTGCTCCACGATGGCAACAATGAGCAGAACCCCCAGAGGCTCTGGCACCTTTGCCTCTTAGTGCCTGTAGCATAGGTGGAGATAACAGTGTAACAGGGTAGTTTCACGGAAAAGCAAAGCAAATCTCCTGAGAACTAATAGATTCACTCTGGAGAAATTAGTGCAAATGTAACACTCATTTGCTGTTGTCATATGTATGGGTGAATTCACCTAAGATTATTTTTAGTGTCTCATTTTTCTTTTAAAGATTATGAATTCAATGCTCTTTTGAAATTTGCAAGTATTTACCACATTTTAGGAGATCTCACAGGTTATTAACCTTTTGCACAGCGGGTTTAAGGCTGCAAAACAAGCAATATACTTCTTTAACATTATTACAACAGAAGATTCAGTGAAACATTATGATGTATAATAGAGAACATAAATTGCCTTTATACAACATTTATAATTTAGAAAGGGATTTTGTGTAAATTGTCTTATGTACCCTTCATTGCAACCCAAAGGAGAAGATGTTATTTTTCTCATTTGACTTGCTCAACAACTTTTCATATATTTTGGGAGCTTTTTAGTGGATTAGAGAAAGTAATTGCAACTGCCTCTATCAAAACCTTTATCTTAAATTGTCCAAAAGAAAAAAAAAGCTAGACATTTTTGTGCTTTTTTGGTGTCCTAATTGTATATTTAATGTGTTCATATTTTCCTTTGGGCAGTACCAAGAGAGCCTTGGACAGTGATGGACAAAGTGGCAATTCCCATCTCCAATTCTTTTTTTTTTTTTCAGTTCTATTTCTCTGAAGAACCTTTCCCTACTTAAAACTCCACCTCCAAACTCACCATGTACATGAAGCCTTTTCAGTATAACCTCTCAAATCTAATATTCTTCTCTTTCCTTGGCCATAGTGTGCAACTATGTGTGTGTTGAGGTGTGATTACAAAATAATGAGTCTGGTTTTGTGTGTGTCTTATGGAGATCAGTCTTATTGCTTAGTAATCACATATGGGACACGTCATAACTAGTTGGGTAAAAATATGTTTACGTGCATATTCTTGGTCTATGCTTGTTCCTGTCTCCTTTTAACTATTGACTCCTTAACCCAAGAGGGAAAATGCACTACTCTGAGTCATGTGACAATCTTGCACCTCCTGGGTAATCTTACAAAAGCCACTTATCTGCTATGACATGCCATTTCCTTTTCTGTAAAGTGGAAATAATAATACCTACCTTACAATGCCATTGTATCAAAAGCATATGAAACTGCTTTATAAATTATTGACTACAAAACAAATGTTAGATATCACCATGCTGGTGATGATTGGCAAGGAGGGGAGAAGGGTTCAGGCTCTCAGCTGTACTTCTTTATGTTCAAGAACAGCAACTCTTTTTTGAGGGATCCTCACATCCTTGTATCACCAAAAGCCTTCAGATCCACGAAAACTGTTTTATTTGACTTCTGCTTCCATTAAAGTCAGACTTGGTGATTTGTACCAGCCCTCTTGCTGAGGACAACTAGAAAAAACAATGCATTGAAGATAGTGAAGAACAAACAGAAAAGCGAAAATGTATCTGGCCAGGAATTAGGAAAGCATGATCCTGAGAGGTAGCCTGGTACCAGAGGCCACTTATTCCTGTGGACCTATGCCAATGGAGGTAGACATGGCTGAGGGCTGAACTGACACTTTTGAGGTCTTGTGGATCGAAGACAATAGCATTGAAATCTGAGATCCACCAAGAAGGAAAATCTAGTGAAACATGCTTTCTTTGGGTTGGTAACAGAAGGGCTGTAACCTTGGAGTAAGTAAGGGAGAACAAAAAGTATTCAGGACTTCATAGGAACTACAGTTTAAGCACTTGTATCCCTGAAATTACATTAAAAAGGTCCTAGATATCCCCAGGTACCTGGCAGAAAAAAATTTCTATGAGCAATTTTGCAAATGCAATGTCTAGTACGCAATAAAAAAATAACCAGGAATGCAGAGAGATGGGAAAATATCAACTAAGAATAACAGAATTAACATAGAATAGAAATGGGCCTCCAGGATTTTCCAGTATCAAGAACACATTTTAAAACCTCCAGGTGTTGATTTTATCAAACCAAAACTGTAGTGTTACTGTACTTACAATGTCCAAGATACAAGACAAAAATTGGAAATTTCAGCAAAAAAGTGGAGACAATAAAAAAATAACTAAATGGAGCCGGGCATAATGGCTCACACCTGCCATTCCAGCACTGTGAGAGGCCAATGTGGGAGGATAGCTTGAGGCCAGGAGTTCAAGAGCAGCCTGGGCAACATGGCAAGACCTCATCTCTACAACAAATAAAAAAATTAGCTTGATGTGGTGGCACACACCTTGGGTGGCTGAGGCAGGAGGATCACTTGAGCCCAGAAGTTTGAGGTTCCACTTAGCTATTGTGATGCTACTCACTCTAGCCTGGGAGAGAGAGCAAGATGCTGCCTCAAAACAAACAAACAAACTGAAAAAACTAGATGGGAATGATAAAACTTGGGAGGAAAAACAGTAACTGAAATGAATACTCAGTCAGACACAGCTGAAGAGAGAATTAATAGACTGGAAAATTGGTAAAAAAAAATAAATCTCAGGAAGACAACATGGGAAATATAGTGAAAAGGTAAGAGACATAAAGCAAATAATGAGAAAGTCTAACATGTTTTATTGAACCCTAAAAGGTGAGAAGAGAAAAAATGAAACAGAATGAAGATTTGAAGAGATAATGAAGGTTTATGATCTTGACAAAAGTCATCAGGCCAAGACTGAAGAAATCTTAAAAACCCAACTTAGTCATACATTTGTTTTGAAATTATATTTTGCTAAAAATAAAGACAAAATAATCTAAGGAGCAGTCATGGGGGAAAAGATTACTTTAAAAGAAATAGCAATTAAGTTGACAGCTGACTTTCCAAAAGAAATCATGGAAGCAAGAAGACAGAAGAATATCTTTACAGTGATAAAAGAAGTTATTGTCAATCGAGAGATCTGTACCCAGTGAAAAAATTCTTCAAAAATGAAGGCGAATTAAAGATATTTCCAGACAAAGAAATAGAATTTGTCACAGAAAACCTACATGAAAGGAAACACTAGAGAATTTTCTTTAGGTAGAATAAAAATGATCTAAGATAGAGAAGGTCAGAGATACATGAAAAAATGAAGAACAAAATAAAGGGTTAATATATGAGTAAATCTAAAGGAATGTTGACTGTATGAAACAATAATGATTTTTATTTAAATATACATTAAAATGAATTGTGACTACGTCTTTGCCTTCTTGAAGAAGCTTGACTTTCTGTACTTCCTTTTTTCCATAATATTTCTTCAACCAGCTCCTTCAACCCCCTTAGGGGACACCTTTACTCCTGAAGCAGGCCAAGTCACTGAAAGCCAATCCTCCAGAAAAAAAATTGCCAAATGACCAATTCATTGAGAGTCCTCTAAGTGCCCAGCTGTATGAAGGCCCATGAGAAAGTGGGTCTGTGGTGACAAAGTATTGGCACCTACATCTGCCAAGCACCATTTCCTTTCAATACTCTGGGGCAGGTCTACTCAGGGAGGAGAGGTTGCTTGTTCAAGATCACACAGCTTAGAAGTGACCATTTTGGTTCCAGAAGAAAAGTGCTTTATTCTACTCAGGTACATTTTTCAGTGTTGACATATCAATGTGAATCCTGGGAGAATAAATTTGATTTCCAATGTCTTTGGCCTCTGTTCTTTGTGTCTAATTTGAACTCAGGATCTTCATGAAACTATTTCACTTTCAATATTTCTTTTGTCCTCAAATTAGCACTAACAATATATTGCGATTTCCCAGTCACTTTGGCTATCCAATGCACTGGACTTCTTGAGACAAGACATTTGTTTTATGTGTTCCTAATTTATGATTTAAAAGAGGTTAAGAAAATAAATTGTATCATGGTAACACAGAACTTGAATAAGATGAGGCAGAAGATTGGGACTTCAGGAGAACTAAGAATGTGACGGTGCTTCTTACCTATATAGATTATTATGAAGCAAACACCCTTGTACCCACTCCCCAGGTTGAGACATGGAACTCTCTTTGCCAGTCACTCCAGAGGCCCCTCCTTATACTCCCTCCCTCTAATTCCTTACCTTTCTGGTTTTGTTGTGCAAGTGTGCTTCCTTAGATTCTAGTTTAGTCTTGTCAAAGTTTATATATTAATTTGCCAGTCTTTATAACAATATTTTGGTTTTAGTTATAAAGTTTGTTCTTTTCTTTCCACTGAGTAAATATCATTTGTTTTTTT